AAAACTAAATATATAGTTGTAACAGGCAGAGCTATTCCACAGTTCAGATACATTTTCCTTTTCTATCTGGCCTGCACCATACACATTTGTACTTAACATAATGCCTTAATGAATCTGCTACACTAGAAACCCTCATTTGAAGAATACATCAACTTTGCTATGCAACCTGACTGCTAAGTCATTAAAGAACCACCTTTAGGCAGCAAAACACTCTTTTGGCCCTCAACCACAATTCAGTGCAGGTGTTGGAAAAGTGTAACCCACAGGTAACATGAAGCTTCTTAGTGTGTTTTGTGGCCTACGAAACACCCAGACCCAAAAGATTTTTTGTAAAAAAATAACTTTTCTGCCCACTCCTGGAATTCTCCAAGAACAAGGACTATGCTATTAAATGGAATGCAAGGACCCTAAACATCCAATTCTACCCACAAAACCAGAAACAGCATCCCCCCCACCATGAAAAATTTACATTTTAGGGGCCTGATAGGTGGGTCCACCAGTCAGAAATTAGTCCCAAGAACCACTGAAGTTGTCCAGACCAAAAAATTAAAGTGGACTCTGTGAAAAAAACTGAAGTATGCTATCTCTCTTTAATACTCTTAAGTCATCAGAGGACAGGAGACTTTTGGCAAGCATATCTACACTGCCTAAAATGATGGAGAAATACACGAAAAAACTTAGCAATTGTACTACACAGTGTCTGCCACCTCAAAAAGAGGCATTCTCAGCATAATCATTTGTCCTACATTTAATATTTTATTTGATTTTTTCAATTTAATTTTTTTCTTTGCAATCACAAAAGTTCTTTTTATAAAAGGACATTTTTAATGTGACTCAATGAAATAGACAATAACCAGAAATTCCACATATAGGAAGAGGCGACAACATAAAATAAACAGAGGATTTTTACAAAGATGAGTGTTACTCAATATACAATATTAAATATATCCAGACCATTCAATTCCACACTATTTTAAAAGACAAAATGGTTTGACTGTTGAATAAACAAATCCTGGATTATTTTTAACAGCTGCAAATACTTTCTACCATGAACATTTCAAGTGAAACTAAGGAAAGATAACAAGGCTCTGAAATTACAACATATTCACAGAAAACAAAGCAAAGTATCATATGTTGCTTGCTTATCTGGTCAAACAGTGGACTCCAAATAATGGTACCACTGATAAGGAGCTCAGTAATTTAGTATTCAATAATCAAAGAGAATGCTAGAAACAAAAGTAATATTTAAGAATGTACAGATATACCTAAGAACAAAGAATTGTTCCACTGTTCCAAGCTACCTACTGTTCAGAGGAAAAACAGGCACAATAGCTTGGAAGCAAAAGTCAGCTGTGCATAGCTTTTCCCACCTAGAGAATCTGACATCACCATCTCTCCTTCCATGTTTCTACCTAAATAATTTATAAACATTCAGAAAATCAACTGCTTAAAGAAAAGCTAGCAACAATGTTACATAAAACTATCCAGAGCATAAATAAATGGATTTCCCAACTGAAGCATGAGGGAAAACAACTGACAACTCAGGAATTTCACACAAAGTTGTGTATCAAGTGTCAAGAAGGAGAAAACTAGACACACCAGTCAGACAAAGCAAGTACCAACTAGGGATAGGAATTTTGGATTTTCTGGACCACAATTACCATCATTCTCCATTCTGCAAGTTGTACTTACTTTAGGGTAACATATGGGTAGAGCTTAGCTTAGCCTACAAATCATCAGAAATACAAACCCTGATGGGGTCACAAAGCCCTCAAATGGGCATTTTCTACTTGCCTACAATTACTTCAGTATAAGAGAGAACATGCAATTTCCAGACTAAAGACAGGGCCCCACATCTTCATGGCTGACTTGAAGCAATGCTTTCTTAACTCCTGTGCTCAAAAGCCTCTTCTCTGACTAAATGTAACTGATCACATCATTATTATCGAGACTCGTGGAAAACAGGTACCATCAGGAATTCAGTGACCTCCACTCCACCATCAAGCTGTGTACAGAAGTCTATGCAACAGATTCTCTTCCCAGACAACATTGCTGAATTACAAAATGGACAAATAAGCAACACCTTGCACCAGAAACATGCAAACAGCCACATATATTTACATTCTTGTAGTTTCTACTCAGAACATCACAAAATTCAAAGTGTTCAGCTAAGCTACACTGCATAACTGTATCTGTCCAGATACATCATACAGACCCCCCCAAGGATTTAAATCAGGCATTTTTCAGACTACTGTACTATAGCATGCACCAATCTGAAAAAAAAACAAAACAGCATAACAGGGTTAGACCAGAACTCACTGACAATCTTCTATAGCAGAGTTCCCGGTCTGCAGCCCGGTGCCAGTCTGTGCCCTGAGCTAGACCAGGCCACGGAGACAGCTCCCACCCCACCCCCCGCACACACTCACTCCCGCACAGCTGATTTGCGCTTGCACATGCACTCCAGCACGCCTCTGCAAGCGCTGCGCTGGCATCTGCACATGCGCATGAGTGCCCGCACGTGCCACACCACTGTTTGCACATGCGCTCATTGACACATGCCCAGCCTTCCCCAGCCCATCTGCGATGTGAAAAAGGTTGGAGACCCCTGTTCTATAGGACAAACCCAAAATGGATAACTGAATCCTACATGTCACCTGCAACAGAGTGGGTTTGATTTAAATTATCTTCTTCTACCAATATTCACTCCTCCATCATCTGAATCTTGTGTCTAAAATGTTCTGCCCTCAACCACCCTGCACAGCTTTTGTAAACTCAAGCCTGCAGATTCCTTAAGGGAGTCAATCCATCTCATATTTAGTCTTCCTCTTTTCCTGCTGCCTTTTACCCTTCCCAGCATTATTGTCTTTTCCAGAGAATTCTGCCTTCTTATTATCTGCCCAAAGTAAACAGCCTCAGTTTCAATATTTTTGCCCCCAGAGATAGTTCAGGCTTGATTTGTTCTAGGACTCACCTGTTTGTCTTTCTGACAGTCTAAGGTATTGGCAAAGCCAGCACCACATTTCAAACAAATCAAATTATTTTTATGTGAGCTTTCTTTACTGTCCAGCTTTCACACCCATACAGAGTAGTGCTAATGGGGGCGGTATATTAAATTGAATTAATAAATAAAGAATACATAGTGCTAAAAATACAAGAGTGTAAATGATCTTAGTCTTAGTCTCCAATGACATATTCTTACACTTGATCTTTTCTTCATTGCTGCCCTTCCTAGTTCCAAATTTCTGATTTCTTGTCTGCAGTCTCCGTTTGGATTGATATTTACTGGTTTTTGACCGTTATAAAGTTACTACTACATTTGGATTGATGAATAAACCAAGGAATACAAAATCTTTTAACTACTGTATTTCAATTTCTTCATTGTCAACACTAAAGTTGTGTAGTTCTAATGCAGTCATGATTTTTGTTTTATTAATGTTGGACAACAGTCCTCCTCTGGCACTTTGTTCTTTCACTTTCAGTAGAAGCTATTTCAAGTAATTGCTGCTTTCTGCCAGTAAGACAATGTCATCTGCATATCTTAAATTATTGAGGTTTTTTCCACCAATCTTCACTCCTCCTTCTTCTGAATCTTGTAAATCTCATGTAAATATTTCTGGCGACCCTGAAAGCTCACCTTGTTTGTAAATTCTCAGTGATCCAACAGAGTCATTATTCAACTTAGAACTTTGTTTCTACAGATGGATCACATGGCTACTTTGGTGTTTTCAGAAGAGATAGGTTTATTAACTTTGGAAAAAAAAACAGGCACAGATTCTTAAAATTGCTTTTCACATGTACAAATGCATGCTTCAGAATAATCCTTTGTTGTAAAATACATCAGTATGTAACGGTGAGCCAGCAAACTCATAGCTCCTTGTCATAAACATAATCCTTTTAAAAAAATCACTTTCTCATCAAGGCTTGAAGGCAGCCTTCGCTATTCCCTTGCAAGCACCAAAGTGGCACAGGACATTATACAGGGCAAGGGTTCTGTAAAGTTACAAAAGATTCTAAACTGACAGAAGTACCACACAGCTATGGTTAATGGGCACTTCCCGTTGTTAAGGCAAAGAAGAAAGGAAGGGCGGGTCTGTTTCGCCCCTTTGACAGCACAGCCTTCCTGTCACTGGTACAGTTTCTATAGTCTCGGGAGCTCTTCCAAACAAGAACCGCCCGGGCTTCCAGCACACCAGGTCGGGCGGGTGGAAAAGCCCACCGCGCGCCTAGCATCCGCCAAGTTTCTGTCACGCGCCACCCAGGGGTGAAGGCGGTTGAAGTCACGCGCAGCAGCACGAGTTGCAGAGCGCTGATTGGTACCTTTAACAGAATGCGGAAGCGGGAGCGGGGAGGGGGGGGGAGGAAATCCTGGCTGCCAAGCCAGCTCTTCTTCAAACATCCCCCCTCCCTTTTCGGTCACGTGCCTAGCGCCTGGAAGAGGCCCTTGTTTATAAACTTTTTCTCAGGGCCAAGGCGCATGCGCCTAAAGGCCCATTCATTCAGAAGTGCGTAACAACAACAGAAGGCGGCGGTGGGGGAGGGGTCCTGGCCCCCAACTTGAAAGGGAAACTTTCGGGGCTCGATATTTGGTCGGTTCAGCCCAGGGGCTCCTTTCAAAGGCAACAGGCCGTCCCGGGGGGTGCAGCAAGGAGAGGGGAAACGGGGGTTTAAACTATAAAGGAGACGAAAATAAAACTTTGTCGAACGAATTTCTGTGTAGCGCCTGACGACATGCTTTATATTGGACTTTGCCACATTGGCTCGAGCGAACGGACGCAAGAAAAATCCGTTCCAAGGCGCCGCTAGCCTCTCTTACCGCTGCTTTCCCCTTAGTCCTGCTCCGGTCCAAAAGACAAGGAGCAAAATAAACCTCGCCCCACCCCTCTCATGACGGCCCCTGGACAAGGAAAAAGCACGTCCGAAGGAAGACATTTGCCTATTATCACTGTCTTCCAGCCTAGATACTCTTACGCTCCGTCGAAAACTTCTGAAGTACTTACCAAACCCGTCGCCATTACAAGCCTCTTTTCAGCTTCCCCCTCCCCTCTGCCGTTCCGTCTTTGGGGAAAGCCACACCCACTTTCTCTTAAAGTTGGCTTAGTGGCTGAGGTTAATATCTGTCACGAGTTTCGCTCCTCTTATTGGAGACTACGAGTGCCCATCATACTTCATCCTTAGAAAACAGACTTGTTTTGATGTCCTTCGTGCATTTCATTGGCTAGAGAACCAAGCCAGTCAGGTTCGACGAAGCCTTGTAAATAGTAGTCGGCCCGCCCCGAGAGTTGCGGGGTGTTATGGGGGTTGTTGTTTTTCTTCCCCTTAAATAAAAGCGCAAGGCAGAACTAATGAACAACAGTTCCCAGAAGGCTCCCGGTCCTTGGTAAACAAGACTTAGGGACACGTGTATTTGTAACAGCTTGCGAGTTGTGGCTTTGTATTGACTCTCAAAAGGAAGCAGAGAACCCTACGATACTTTCCCCCGTATATGGAGAAAAAGGTGGTGGTGGAAATCGTTATTAACAGAAACACAGGCCAGTGAAATGATGATACTGGTAAGGCGCTGAGCACCTCCTCCCCTCCAATAATGTTGAGTACCTAGCGTCATTCCACAACCTCATTCACAAATTACCGCACAGCCTCTTCCCAGTAAACCTACAATTCTGCACCCACCAGCTTAGAAACAAGTTTCATTAAATTCACTTTTACTATGTGGATCATAACTGTTGTCTGTGGTCTTAACTGTAAATCTAATCGTCTTCCCGTATGGAACACATACTCATACTTCAGATGTCAATTCGCATTTAGTTCAAAATCACTCTCCTTTGTTGTGAAATTCAGATTTACCGCCTTGTATTTGAATGTATGTTGGTCTTCTAGTTAAGTCCTGATTAAAGGAACTTTTTCATAACTCACCTGTGGAAAGTCCTATGCACACAACACAACTGCAGTAGCCTACAGTAATCTAAATTCTATCATAAAATCCTAATACAGGCATATTAATTAAACATCAAGAAATACAACATTATTGAAATCTTTATAATGTAAACTAAGACAACAAAATTAATCACCATTGTAAGAGGGAATCTTGGCTTCACAAATATTCTCCATACTTGTACAAACAGCTCTCTCAACTTCATGGGAATTATTTCATCTTGTGAATACTTATTTTGAGGAAAGCAGCTGCAGAAATAAAACTATTTTCTAAAGACCCTTTCTAAATTTAATCAATATACATTTGGAATGACTGTGTTCCTTTTTTAAAAAAAAAAAACCCACAAACCTTAATGTGATTATTTTACTGACTAGTTTTTTCAAGCTGATGCTTACCTGTTAAATTCAGAGCTTTAGGTGGAGGTTGAATGAGGAACTAGCATGCTAATATAAATAAAAAGTTCAAACATTTGAAAGCCAGATCTTTAAACTCTCCCTATGATGTGCTGTTATTGTTATCAGGTCTAAATGACTGTTTACCCAGAAACATTCTTGAGCAGAGTGCCCCATTTCCACCCATTCTCTATCAGCCACTCAGATGGTAACAACTCTGCAATCCAGAAAATGACTCAATTATCACACTACATGTATCCAGCTGCTCATTCAGGGACATAATGAATGGGCAAATTTCTAGATGTATTCAATATGCGGTACAAATGTTAGGCATTTGCTTTGGTCTTAATGTTTTGTACTAGTCAACCGCTGAAGCTGAGTGTCTTGTATTACGTATATATCATGGAGTCCAACATAACAACAGAAAGTCACCAAGGAAGTCCAACACAACTCAAATTATTCTACAAGGCCTGTTGTCTAAAGAGGCCCAAGAGGTGTAAAATTGTTGGAAAAGGAAGAATACAATGCAATCAATGCAGTGCAATGCAATGCAATAAAATAAATAAAATTAAGAGAAATAACCAGCAAAGCTAAACTAAACCACTGGTCTTCAAAGATGTCAGTACAGCCACTTCTAGAATGTTTTGTCAGAGACAGAATCCAATGAAGTAAATAATAAGAACAGAATAGATGCATTTTTGTGAACCTTGCAACCAGGTAACAAAGTAGCAAATTATATTCAATATAAATGTGTGCATATTGGGGCAAAAAATCTTCATAGAAAGTGATGGAATTTTATCCGACAATAATTAGAAAAAGACTTTGGAATTCCTTGGTGGAGAGAGAGAGAGAGAGAGAGAAACCTTTATTAGCATAAGTAAAAATTGGACAGATTGACAGTGGTTCTTTACGTAACTACAGTGGTGCCTCACTTAGCGATGTTAATCTGTGCAGGAAAAAACATCGCTAAGTGATTTAATCGCTAAGCGATTTAAAAAAGCCCATAGGAACGTATTAAAACGCGTTTAATACGTTCCTATGGGCTAAAAACTTACCTTAAAGCGAAATTCCTCCATAGCGGCGGCCATCTTGGGTGCCTCTACAGCGAACCAAAACAGCGGCAGCCATTTTGGAACCACCGATCAGCTGTTTTAAAAAGTTCGCTTGGCCATGATCACTCCCCCGCGATCATCACAAAGCGAATTTTAGCCATAGAGGACATCGCTAAGCGATCACTCCAGTGATGGCCAAAAGTCCATCGCAAAGTGATTTCATCGCTCAATGGAGCGATCGCTAAGCGAGGCACCACTGTACATACAGTATATAGGCATCAAGAGGGTAGGAAAGTTTTAGACATCCTTAAAGGGACAATGGTTCGTCTCCTAACAATAGTATCAAGGAAGTCTGTGACTCTTTCTACAATGTCAGTTATCTCAGCCTTCAGCATATAGCAAACTTTATCCAAATCTGACCTCTCTCCCAGCTTTAATAAAATTGGAGTGCTTAACCTTGAGGGGCCGATCGAGTGAAGCAGCTAGTGCTAGTGCAAAAACATATGAACAAGGGCTTCCAGTACCTCCCTGTTCACATGGGCAGTGCCTTTCAGAATAAGAAACTGCATTAAATCTGCCATATAATATAGCAGTAGGCATATTGAACCTGGCCAAAGAAAAGGCCCTACGTTTTGGGGGGCATATGAGCAAGGAAAGGTAGGCAGCTGGTTTACTCATTTTAGGAGGAATATTGAAAAATAATGGTGAACAGAATTTACTGGCATCATTACAAAGGTCCTGGAATTCAATATCCAAAATTCTTTTAATAATTTGGAAAGCTAGTTCTTGACTTAAGAGCTCCAAGGTAGTCGCTATCTATACCAATTGATTTCATTTTTTTTCAAGAGGACTGTTGACCCAAAAGGCAGGACAGAGTCCCGCAGAAGTTGGTATAATAAACTGTCCATGTTTGAATTGTAATAGATACTTAACCAAAATTTCAATGATCTCAACCAAGCTGCAGTCTGTATTAAAGATACTCCGAACGCCAGACAGAGTACTGAGTAGAGCACACATCTAGATAGTCCTAACCCTTTGCGTAAGAAGGAGGATTGTAGCTGTTCAATCGATCAATCCATAGTACTTGCCCAAATTGGGAAACATAGAGGGCTTGTGGAATAATTTTGGACTTGAAAACTTGTAATGCTGCTGAGACAAACTGATTTCCTGACTTATAGTAAAAACACAGAATACACTTAGTGATCCTAGCTGCCTTTATAGCCATTTTTCGATAGGGAATGTTTATAATGAAAAAGAACACCTAAATATTTATACCATTTAACCTGTTCTATATGATTTCCATTTAGGTTCCATTTAAATTGTTTCCATGTTTTGGCAAAAACCAGTATTTTTGATTTATTATAATTTAATTGCATTTTATTTTTGCTCAGATACTCTGCACTTCGATTAATCAGGCACCTTAAGCCTGGACAAGTGCGGGAAATTATGATGGCATCATCCGCATAGAGTAGTATCGGGATGGGACAAGTTCCCAATTTGGGAGGGTGGCCATCAAAGTATGTCAAAAAGGGAGCAAGATCATTCATAAAAAGGTTAAACAGTAAGGGAGCCAGGATGCAGCCTTGTTTCACTCCTTTGTTAATTGGGATCTGCTTGGTTACTTCCCCTCTTCACGAAAGTCAAATTTGGCATGTTGTAGCAGAGGATAAACCTTTTATGAGGAGGAGCAGTCTTTTATCAATGTGGTGCATATGTAGTAGGAGTAGTAGGAAATGACAAATCTATTATTGTTGTTGTTATTGTTGCTGTTGCTGTTGTTGCTGTTGTTGCTGTTGTTGTTGTTATTATTATTATTATTAATTATTATTATTATTATTATTATTATTATTATTATTATTATTATTATTATTATTATTATTATTATTATTATTATTATTATTATTATTATTATTATCATTATTATCATTATTATTAT